TAATAATAATAATAATAATAATAATAATAATAATAATAATAGCACGGACAACTCACGTGCGAATACCCCGACAATCTTCTCAACAATATTACGTGTGCCAAACATATAACAACACAATATAATAACTCGCACCATATGTGCCCATATGCCACAACATTTCCTCCATACAAATTCGAATAACACAACCACATATAGCCTTCGGCTCAACAACACTGAGTAAGACAACCACAACAACAACAACAATAACACGAGAGTACGGTAAGTAAATCAACACAAGAATTACAAAACATAAAGAACGGAAGAACGAGCTCACGACGAAAGACATAACAAGTAATAACAGTTTCAAACAAGAATAACTCAACAATGAGAGAGATAGTGTGTAACAACGATGTCACATAAGAGTAACTCAACAATAAGAGAGATAACATGTAACAATAATTTCAAATAAGAATAACTCAACAATAAGAGAGATAACATGTAACAATGACTTTAAATAAGGATAAGACAATAATGGAAGAGATAACATTAACTTCAATTAAGGATAATCAACTACGGAAGAGATAACATGGTGATAAAAGAGGTACCAACTTCAATTAAGGCATATAAGAGTATATTTGGCAATAACGGGTAGAACATGAACCAATCAACTTCATACAAGACACGTAAGGGTAAATTTAGCAATGGAGGATTTACATGATAAGACAACTTCATTTTAATGTACATAAGAACATAAGAGTCTAAACCGGTCAAATTTCCACCTATAAGCCGCATACATACTCGCCACCTCGTGTACACGCCTTTTACGTAGTTCAAATAGTACAAACAAACCAATCCCTATGGGGTAGTTTTTCTCACACAACGTTAGGCAAGTTACTTACCTCAAAATCCCTCAATCAATACTTAAAAATAGCTTTTCCTTTACAATTCACCTCCGCTCGTCACAAATCTAACCAAAATCGAACATCAAATAATGCAAGAGAAATCAATTCCAATAAATAAAGCTATTATTTTACACAATTCCTTAAAAGTCAACAAAAATCAACCCGAGGCCCGCCCAGTCATAACCCTTGTCCAATGATAATTCTGACTACCCATGACCCCACGAGTTCATATATGTGATTAGTTTCAAAATCCGAATCCAAATCGACTCTCAAAATGCAAATTCTCATTTTTCAAAATATAAACAATGTTTCTCAAAATTTTACTTTGATTCTCATAATTTTGATGTTAAAACTCACATATAATCATGTAAAATAGTTGAAAATTGAATAAAATCATTTACCCAATGATTGTAGATGAAAATCCCTCCTCAAAATCGCTTCTTACCTAGTCTAGGATTCCAAAATATGAAAATGAGACCAAATTCCCGTCCCTCAGCTTTTATGTCCATTCGCAGATGTCGCAATTGCGTCCTTGGGTTCGCAAATGCGAGGACATGATCGCAAAAGCGAACCATCTCATACCCCTACTGCCATCGCAATTGCGAACATGGGGCACTTCGCAAATGTGACCCTTAAGATCCCAAATGCGAACAAGCTCACCCAGCCCCTATCGCAAATACGAACTTTGGGTTCACAAATGCGAACCTAGCCGACTTAGTCTGATATCGCAAATGCGACATATATCTCGCAAATGCGAGGCCTGCAAGACTTGATCAACACCAGCAACACTAAACCTCTTCCAAACACTCCAAAACGCGTACGAAACTCACCTGAGCCCTCAGACCTCCACATCAAACATCAATACAAGTCTAAAAACATAACACAAACTCGATCGCTCAATAAAATCATCAAAATAATATCCGAAACCACGAATCGAACCTCCAAAATACATGAAATCAACATGAAACTCAAAAACTTCTAAAAATACAACCGCGTGTCCGATTCCTATCAAATCAACTCGAAATGATGCCAAACTCTGCAGACAAGTTCCAAATGACGAAACGGACCTATTCCAAGTCCCAAAATATAAATCCAGACACGATATCTATGAGTTAACCTACGGTCAAACTTGTAAAGATTCTAAGCCTTTAAATTGTCAACTTTCAACATAACAACACAAATCAACCTACGGACCTCCGAATTTGATTCCAGACAAACGCCCAAGTCCAACATCATTATGAGAGCCATCAAAACACAGTTATAGGGTCGTTTTCACTAAAGTCAAATCTCGGTCAACATTTTCAACTTAAGATTCTAAAGTGAGAATCACTCATCCAAATTCATTCCGGAGCATCCGAAATTCAAATCCGACCATGCACACAAGTCATAATACACAATATGAAGCTATTCAAGACCTCGAACCACTGAACGAAACCTTAAAGCTCAAAACGACTGGTCGGGTCATTACAACAAGATTCCAAAAACTAAGCCAAAAAGGACCTTTTCCAATGGGTATGTTTGAAATTCTTTAAAACAAATAGATGTGTCAATATACAAAATTTGATGAAGATTGGAGGTGATTTGGACTGATTTGGTATCAAAATTCGTAGTTAAAATCGAGTTCAAAAAATTCTTCTGCGATACATGTATCACGCATGTATCTCGCACATAGGTATACATGTGATAAACATTTGATACAACTATGATACATATGTGATATAAAAATAATGCACAGTGTGATACACATATCATTTTTTCATGTTCATGTTCATGTTCTATTTTAAATTTTCAATTCAAACCACTTGAAAACTCTACCAAATCATCCCAAAATTGAGATTCAAGCTTCTTAAGATATACCCAATCTATTCTAATAACATCCAATCAAAAGAAAGCAAAAATATGACCTTTTGTTTTTGCTACTAATAGCTAATTTGCTAGTATTGATAATATTTGGCTAATATTAGTAATATTATATGTATTGGCTAATTATTTTGTAATAAACTACTGATAAATGGACATAGCTGGTAGTTTCTCAATCCTTCTTTAATGATAATTTTTTATAGCCACAACAATATTATGATCCTACAAAGTTTTTGCCCCTTATCAAAATAAATTTTTTTAAACTTTGTGTCAAGTCAAACTAAATCATCTAAATTAAAACGGATAGAGTATTTTTACATAGCAAAGGTGTAAGCTTGACCTTTTTCCCTTGCTTTAAAGGGAATCATGTGTCACTGTGACATGAGTTCTCGTATTTGGATATGAGGTTGAGAGGTGAATGGTTATTTACAGCTTGTTTGAATGATTGGTTATGAATCGTTTCATAATGTATTACTATATCTTCTTATTGTATAGTAATTGTACTGTATTATTTTAATAAATATAATATTTGGATAAATTATATTATTTATCGTGAAAAATAAACTTGCAATATTACGGAAAAAAAATAAAGTATGAGCTAAAATTATATAAAAAAGATAGGATAAAAGATAAAATAAAATTATTTAATAATAAGGAGGGACAAGACGATAGAAAAAATTATGGTAACAATGCTACCACGTCAAATTTGTCCTTACGTAGAGTAGAGTGACATTTTTTCGTCATCATCTAACAACGAATTTAAATATACAACTATCTAAAATTCCAAATAATATAAAGGGTATGATAAATTCTATTGCCTTTCGTTTCAAAAATTAGGGTACATGTTTAAAGGATTATTTTAAAAAAAATTAATAATAATGCACTGTTTACTGAACTATGGTTAATTGCATCCTCAACAACTCCAATTGCACATACCATCAACCGTTCCATTTCCAATTTCTCCACTACTTCAGGTAACGAAGCCATTTGCAAGCAATTGTTGTTTTAGTATGACGTTATCTCTGAGAACTCACCGGAGAGGTAACGAGGAGAAGAATCGGAGGGTAGGTTATCGGTGAAATTCATGTCGATTCACGGACAGAGCTCAGGGAGCAGCAGTTCGGAGTTGTTGTGAAGGTCGAGGACGGCACGGGTAACCGGACTTTCTCGCCGGTGGTAAAACTTTCGCCGGTGACTCGACGGAGGAGATGTAGTTGTCTTAGTCAAAGATTTCTTTCCTTTGCTTCAGTCAATTAGGTGATCTTAGTTCAATTTTGATATCGTTGACAGGTTAAATATATGGGAATTTCTTTTTCAAATAATACTCTATTCTTGGTTTACTTTTACTGTTTAGATTAAGAATTATAGTCCTCACTTATTGTACTCCTAATGTTTTACGATAACAACAATCCCAAAACTGACTTTTGGGGATGATACTGTGTATATAGATTTTACTTCTACTTCAAAAAGATTATTTTGATAGATTTTCAGACTCAAAAAAAAAAAAAAAAAGGCGGGGCAACAAGCAGTAATAACATAAGAAAACCGTAGCAAACACTAGGCAGTAATAGCAATTTAAGAATAAGAAATATGTCATACTAACACGTCGACTAGCTACTAACTTTCTATCTTAATTCTTGACCTTCACGCACCGCCTTTGTTTTACACTAATATTTAAATGGGATATTTGGAGTCTATGTTTACAAACTTTCTTAAAATAATTGAGGTGCCATTTGGCGGACCTTCAAATAGCAAACATGTTTCAATTGCTTGACTTAGGGACATCCTGCAAAACGTTGTCATTGAACTAATTCTTTAGTGAAAACAACTTGATGGCTGCTTCAGAATAATTAATTAAATTAAAGAAACTGTGGTGTGTGAACACCTTTTTTTTTCTTTTGTGGAGAAAATAGAACAATGGAAACTTATCAGAAAGTATGTGATAAACCTATATGTGTTGCATCTTTGCTTCTTCCTATTTTTGTTTTGTTCTGTTATTCTCTTTTTCCATGTCCACAATGTGCCAATGATTATTCAAAATTAGTACCTTGGTAGGTAGAATTCTCAAGTCTTCAGCTTTTAAAATTAAAAAAAAAATCAAAACCAAGAAAAAGTGACTGTCCACATCTAGGAAATTTCATAAAAAAATAAACAATTTGTTTTGATTTTGATATAGTAGTACTCCCTACTATGTATCAAACTTTATTGTTTCCAGTGTGCAATAGTTGACTTCAACAAATTATCAGGAAGTATTCAACAAATTAATGAGCACCACTTGATATAGTTAGCAGTAGTAGTCAAGTTTGTCTATCATTTTTGAGTGCCAACTTTCTGCAAATTTCTTCATTCACAAATCTTGAAAGTTCTTTGCAGAAGTTGGGAGAGATATGGCTACAGTTTATGCTGCAGTAACTTCTCTGATGGGAACAATACAACTGATTTCACAATCCACCTCAGACCTTCAGGAGGATCACAAAGAACACTTGAAATTACTCTACGACAAGGTTGGTTCTATGCTAGAGTTTCTTGACACTAATTCTGATGATGAACCAATGAAGGATTTGCTAAAAAAGGTCAAAGATGTAGCACATAAAGTAGAAGATGAAGTTGAATCACACATTTGGAGAGGAAACCATAAGACGCTTCTTAAAATCTTGCAACGAGTGTTCCACCTTCCAACAAAGGCACATGAGAGGCTTCTTATGATCTTGCAACGGGCTATAGAAGAAGTTGATTCTGTCAAGGAAGAGCTCAACAAGCTGAAGGATAATAATAATAATAATAATAATAATAATAATATGCGAGCTGGAAATTTTTCACTTGGTGGTTCTAGTTCACCACGATTGCAGGCNCAATGCGTTTCCTGAAGCCAGAGGAAAGTTGGACTTTATTTTGCCAAAAGGCATTTGACCAAAACGTCTGTCCAATTGAATTTGAGAATATTGCAAGGGAAGTTGTGAAAAATTGCAACGGATTACCACTAATGATTTCTGTGGTTGCAGGGGCTCTATCTAGCAAGAGGACATTGGATGAGTGGAGGAAAGTAGCTCAAAGTGTGAGTTCGTTAGTAAATCTTGATGATTATCAACGCTGCTCAGGAGTGCTCGCTTTGAGCTACAATCATCTTCCGTCTCATTTGAAAGCTTGCTTTCTGTATTTTGGAGTTTTCCCGAAAGCAAGTGAGATTTCTGTGAAGAAGTTGATTAGATTATGGGTTGCCGAAGGATTCCTAGAGCTGAAGGGGTTTGAGGGATTGGAAAAAGTGGCTACTAATCTTTTAAGTAATCTTATTGATAAAAGTCTAGTTGTTGTTGGCAAGCGAAGTTTGAATGACAAAATCAAGACATGTAGGATTCATGATCTTCTGCACGATTTATGCTTGAGAGAGGCTGAAAGCGAGAATCTCTTGCATGTTACAGAAACGCCGGTGACTACATATGAAGGATCTAGAAAGGATTCCTCTCAAGTTCGTCGGTGGGTGTCAGTTTATCCAAAGGACGGTAGGTTTTCTCCAATCCGTTTTAATTGTAGAAAAACACGTTCTCTTCAGGTTTATTCCTACATAACAGAGCATTCTCGTTCTAAATTAGGACTAAACCATTTCAAACTTCTTAGAGTATTGGAATTGAAGACAAGTTGGTATGAATTCCCTAGTGAAGTAGTACACCTAGTTGCTTTAAGGTATTTGGCTGTGAAGGTTTCTAGGAGTCCTAAAGATCTACCAATTTTCAATCTTAAGAATTTACAAACTTTTATTTTTCCTCAAAATATGCCAGAATACCAAGGGGTCATATATTTGCCAAGTGAAATTTGGGAAATGTCTCAGTTGAGGCATCTCCGGTCTACAAGGATGTACTTATATTCTCCTCCTCCAATGGTATCAGATAATGAAGTTAAGTACCGGGCGTTGGAAAACTTGCAAAGTGTTTCTGGGTTGATTCCTCGTTGTTGCACAAAAGAAATATTTGAAGGGATTAAGAAGGTGAAAAAATTGGGGATTTATGGAACTAAAGATGATTTTAATAGTGAGCCTAGATGCCTCGAGAATCTAGTGGATTTACATGAGCTTGAGGCACTAACTATTGTATCATACAGAAAATTCAAAGCTGATACGTTTCTTAGGCTTCCTTGTCCAGGTTCCTTTCCACCAAATCTCAAGAAGCTGACACTTTGCTGCACTTTTTTACTGTGGAAGGACATGACAATCGTTAGCATGCTGCCCAAACTCGAGGTACTCCAGTTGAGGAATAATGCCTTTGTACCAAACATAGTCTGGGAAGTAACAGAGATGCAATTTCCTAAATTGAAATTCTTGCTCTTCGAGCAGTTGAATATTAGATATTGGAGAGCCACTGATGATTGTTTCCCATGCCTCGAGCGTATAATTATAAGAAATTGCAGGTTTTTAAAAGAGATTCCCCAAGAATTTGCAGATAGTATGACACTGCAGCTAATTGAGTTACATCAATGTTCTCCTTCCCTTGTGAATTCTGCTGAGCTGATCCAGAAAGAGCAATTGGAGAGTTTGGGGAATAACATGCTTAAAGTTTATGCCTTTGACACCATTAAATGTAAGTGAAGTATTTCTGAATTATATGATTCTTCAACATCCATTATAAGTTTGAATTCTGATGAACTGCGCGTTTCATCTTTTAATTAAAATAGAAATGAGATAATCCATATTCATTTTATTCATTTTCAACGGCTTCTCTCAATTTTAACTTAGCATTAAACTGCATGTGCTCTTAGACTACATTAATTGTGTACATTATAGTTGAATTAAATGGCAAAATGAAGTCTAAATTCGAATTGTTGGGACATTTGGTGAAAGACGACAACCCTTTTGAAGAATAGGTGGATGGTTGAAGTTTGAAATGTTAAATATCTTTAAAGTAATTGTATGTGTTATTGTGAGTTTTCAACTCTAATAATCTCTCAATGTTTTTTTACTTTACACTTACTCGAGACTCACTTGTAATGGCCATTTGTACAGGGAGAATCTGGTGAGAGCTAACCGTTTCCACTTACTACGATTGAACCAATGCCCAACATCCCAGAAACAGGAGCACCTTGTTTTTCTGTTAAGACACAGTGACACAGAAGTTATGAGAGGTCTAAATCTTTGTTTTCTCTGAACTAGAAAGTGTAAGTGAAGTTATGGTGTAGCCAATAAATTCAATTCAACCGCACAGCCTTGGATTGTCTTCACTCTTCAGTGGCTAATCTTTGATGCATATTTTAATTTTCTCAAGAGCTGGTCACTGAAAAATCGAGACTCGCCGCCACTCCATAGCTGCTCTCGGCTTCCATTTCCAATATCTCCACTACTTCAGGTAACAAATCCATTTGCAAGCAACTGCTGTTTTAATATGATGATTCCATCTCTGAGAACTCAGCGGAGAGGTAATGAGGAGAAGAATTGGAGAGTAGGTTATCGGGGAAATCCATTTTGTTTCACAGACAGAGCTCGGGGAGCTGCAGTTCGGAGTTGTTTTTAAGGTCGAGGACGGCACCGGTGACCGGACTTGCTCGCCGGTGGTAAAACTTCTGCCGGTGACTCAACAGAGGAGATGTAGTTATCTCCTACAAAACGTTGTCATATCTTTTACTTTAACTACTCTTTACAGCTTGTTTGGATTGTTATTACGTGTTGTTTCATAATGTATGGTATTGTATTGTACTGCATTGTATTTGTATCGTTTGTCGTCGTTTCATGATATCATGCACCAACAGTATAAAGAATAAACTTGCAACATTACTTAAAAAAATAGTATACGGATTAGAATTATTATATTAAAAAGTAGGGTAAATGATAAAATATAATTATTTAATAATAAGGAAGGACAAGATGAGAGAAAAAAGCAAGGAAACGATGCTAATACACCAAATCCGTCATTCCATAAAGTGACACTTTTCGTCGTTACGAAACGATGAATTTAACGATACGATATAATAAAATTTAAGTAACAATCAAAATAAACATTGTATTTAAAGTAACAATACGATACAATACAATAGGTAACAACCATCCAAACAAGCAGTTAGTGAAAACAAGTTGATGCGTTAGAATAATTAATAAAATAAAAGAAGGTGTGGTGTGTGAACACCCATTTTTCTTTTATGGAGAAAGTTATTGAACAATGGAAACTTATCAGAAAGTATCTGATAAACCTATATGTGTTGCATCTTTGCTTCTTCCTCCTTTTGTTTTGTTCTTTTATTCTCTTTTTCCATGTCCACAATGTGCCAATGATTATTCAAAATTAGTACCTTGGTAGGTAGAATTCTCAAGTCTTCAGCTTTTAAAAAAAAGAATAAACAATTTGCTTTGATTTTGATATAGTAGTACTCCCTACTATGTATCAAACTTTATTGTTTCCAGTGTGCAATAGTTGACTTCAACAAATTATCAGGAAGTATTCAACAAATTAATGAGCACCACTTGATATACTTAGCAGTAGTAGTCAAGTTTGTCTATCATTTTTGAGTGCCAACTTTCTGCAAATTTCTTCATTCACAAATCTTGAAAGTTCTTTGCAGAAGTTGGGAGAGATATGGCTACAGTTTATGCTGCAGTAACTTCTCTGATGGGAACAATACAACTGATTTCACAATCCACCTCAGACCTTCAGGAGGATCACAAAGAACACTTGAAATTACTCTACGACAAGGTTGGCTCTATGCTAGAGTTTCTTGACACTAATTCTAATAATGAACCAATGAAGGATTTGCTAAAACAGGTCAAAGATGTAGCACATAAAGTAGAAGACGAAGTTGAATCACACATTCAAAGAGAGGCCCAGAAGAAGCTTCTTAAGATGTTGCAACGAGTCTTCCACCTTCCTACAAATGCCCATTCGAGGCTTCTTATGATCTTGCAGCGAGCTATAAAAGACATTGACTCTGTGAACAAAGAGCTAATGAAGCTGAGGGAGAATAATATGCGAGCTGGAAATTGTTCGCTTGGCGCTTCTACTTCATCACAATCAAATGCTTTAACCCTCGAGAACGAAATGGTGGGGTACAACATTGAACAAGAACTCATGCTGGGTCAACTTAGGGGACACTCATCTCAACTGGAAGTCATCTCTATCTTTGGGATGGGCGGCATTGGTAAGTCAACTTTTGCTAAAAGAATATTTTTTGATCCCTCAATTGTGAGCTTCTTTGATGTTCGCGCATGGATTGTTGTGTCCAAGGACTACAGTATAAGAAGGATGCTTTTATCCCTCCTTCAAGATGCTATTGGGGTGGATGAAGAGGCCGATAAGAAAAGCGATGGAGAACAACCAAATCGCTTGCAGAAGAGTGATGGAGAATTAGAAGATGGCTTGCAGAAAATTGATGATGCACTTGCAGATCGCTTGCAAAAAAGTTTAAAGGGTAGGAGGTATTTGATTGTTGTGGATGATATATGGAGCACGGAAGCCTGGGATGAGATTTAACTATGGTTTCCAGATAATAGTAACAGAAGTCGTATACTGTTGACTACTCGAGACATGAATGTTGCTCAATATGCTAGTTTTCCTAACGATCCTTTTCCAATGCGTCTCCTGAAGCCAAAGGAAAGTTGGCATTTATTTTGCCAAAAGGCATTTGGCAAAAAAGGTTGTCCAACTGAAGTTGAGAATGTCGCAAGGGTAGTCATAGAAAATTGCCAAGGATTACCACTAATAATTTCTGTGGTTGCAGGGACTCTCTCTAGCAAGAGGACACTGGACGCGTGGAGGGAAGTAGCTCAAAGTGTTAGCTCTTTAGTAAACCTTGATGATTATGAGCGTTGCTCAGGAGTGCTCTCTTTGAGCTACAGTTATCTTCCTTCACATTTGAAAGCTTGCTTTCTGTATTTCGGAGTTTTCCCAAAAGCTAGTGAGATTTCTGTGAAAAAGTTGATTAGATTATGGGTTGCGGAAGGACTCTTAGAGCTAAAGGGGCTCGAGGAGCTGGAGAAATTGGGCTCTAGTCTTTTACATGATCTTATCGATAAGAGTCTAGTTGTTGTTAGCAAGCGAAGTTTGGATGGCAAAACCAAGACATGCAGGATTCATGATCTTCTCCATGATTTATGCTTGAGAGAAGCTGAAAAGGAGAATCTCTTGTACGTTGTTAATCCTTCAATTGCTAAAGGACACCGAACAGTTTTCCCTAAAGGTCGTCAGTGGGTGTCACTTCATTCAGCGCGAGGTTTTTCTTCTCCTTTTCGTTTTGGTGATCTTACTCATAGCAAAACGCGTTCTCTTCATATTTCTTTCACCAAAAGCATAGACTATCTTGCATTAAGACTAAACCATTTCAAACTTCTTAGAGTATTGGACTTGGAAAAAGTGGGCTTCGACAATTTACCTAGAGAAATAGTACACCTAGTTTCTTTAAGGTATTTGGCTATGATAGTTCGTACGATTCCTAAAGATCTACCAATTTCTAAACTTTGGAATTTACAGACCTTTGTTTTCCCTCAATATTTTCCAAATACATGCCATACCATATATTTATCAAATGAAATTTGGGAAATGTCTCAATTGAGGCATCTCCACTCTTCGAAGATATATTTGAATTCTCCTCCAAAGGTATCAGCTAATGAAGTTAAGTATCGGGTTTTGGAAAACTTGCAAAGTGTTTATGGGTTGAGTCCTTGTTGTTGCACAAAAGAAATATTTGAAGGGATTAAGAAAGTGAAAAAATTGGGGATTTTTGGCAAAAATGATGAATATGATGGTTAGTCCAGATGCCTAGATAATCTAATATATTTACATGATCTCGAGGAGCTAAGAATTAAATCTTACATGTCTCGTTTCGTAAGGCTTCCACGTCTAGATTCTTTCCCACCAAATCTCAAAAAGCTGACACTTAACGGCACTGGATTGATGTGGAAGGACATGACAACCATTAGCATGTTGCCCAAACTCAACGTGCTCCAGTTGAAGAATGGAGCCTTTCGTTTAAGAACAGCATGGGAAGTAACAGAGATGGGATTTCCTGAACTAAAATTCTTGCTCCTTGAGGAGTTGAATCTTGTTTACTGGAGAGCCGCTGATGATTATTTCCCATGCCTTGAGCGCGTAATTATCAGAAATTGCAGGTACTTAACAGAGATTCCTCAAGGATTCGCAGAAAGTGTGACACTACAACAAATTGAGTTGCATGGATGTATTCCTTCCCTTGTGTCTTTTGCTGAGCAGATCCAGAAAGAGCAATTAGAGAGTTCGGGAAGCGACATGCTTAAAGTTTATGCCTTTGACAGAATTAGAGGTAAGTAGTTTGAATGAATCTTCAACATCCATTGTATGTTTGACTTCTGAAAAACTGTGTTAAATTATATGATTCTTTTGTGCATAACTACTATATCGTTGAATTCAACAGGAGGAAATTGAATAGTTCGTAAAGTCTGGTACATGTGATTACCATGTTAGGGCCTTTTATTATGATATATAGGTTCAGTAAAAGGGTATATAAGAATCATTGCACATATTATTAAGTATTCGGAAAAAGGTTCAAATATGCCCTTGTACTATACGAAATTGAGCACATTTACCCTTCGTTAATACTTTAGTTCAAATATGCCCTTACCGTCACATAGTTGGTCCCTATATGCCCTTAGAGTTATACAGTTGGCACATATATGCCCTTTTCGAAACGGAATCCACTCAAACTAATTAGCTCTTTCGGTAATTGTATTAAAGTGTATTACAAATACTATTTTTTTTTTATTAGTACTTTCTTTTCTTTACCTTTCTCTTTTCTTTCTTCTTTTTTTTTTCTCTTTTTTTTTTCCTTTTTCTTTCTCCCTTATCCGATTTCCTCCATTACTGATGTCTTCTCCATTTTCGTCACCAATTTCACTTACAAAATTCATGAATTCCAATTACTAAGAAAATTCTCCCATAAGAATATTTTTATAGATCATATGTTTGTCAATTTTTAAATTTTTACTGAACATATATTTAGTTCTAAAAAATTTAACAAAGTAGGATTGAAATAATATTTATGTAACAAAAAACCCGAAAAATCCAACAAAATCGAACAATCTAAATCGATATAATTGGTTTGGTTTGGTTTTGATAAAAACCGAACCAACTCGTTCCATGTACACCCCTAATTTACATGGTTAATAAAAAAAAATAGAAAATGTCCAGCTGAAAAAAGATGAAAAAAGACTAACAACTGAAATTTATAATACTACAGCTTGAACTCTAGGCTTTTAATCATTAAATTATCTTTCTGGAAACAATTTAAATATTTTGGTTTTTTGAGTATTGTTAAAGGTTGAGATGTTTTTATTATTTTAAAGTTTAAACCATAATTTTTGGAACAATTTAATTTCGTTTATTTAGAGGGCCAGTGAAATTGGAATTTGATTACCTTATGGGAGAATTTTCTTAGTAATTGAAATTCATGAGTTTTGTCAAGTGAAATTGGTGACGAAAATGGAGAAGACATCAGTAAAGGAGGAAACGGATAAGGGAGAAAGAAAAAGGGAAAAAAAAAAAGAGAAGAAAAGAAAAAAGAAGAAAGAAAAGAGAAAGGTAAAGAAAAAAAAAGTACTAATAAAAAGGAAATAGTGTTTGTAATACACTTTAATACAATTAACGAAAGAGCTAATTAGTTTGGGTGAATTCCGTTTCGAAAATGGCATATATGGGCCAACTGTGTAACTCTAAGGG